TTTAAATATTTACTTGTTGTCTTTATTTATTAAATCAAGTTCTAAAAAACAACAGATACATTGAAAAATTGCACAGGCGTAGTTTCATATTAACAGTTTGCACTTACCGTTTAACTAGTCATTTTACACAGGCTACCAGCTAGCATGCAGATAATGCTATACACTATTAGTGGAATATCTTGCATGATATCACTATTATTTCGCGTTTTTGTTTGGGGGGGGGGGGCAAGTCATTAACCACTTGAAGACCAGGGTGTTAAACTCCCTTCCTGTCCAGGCCATTTTTCAGTATTCAGCATTGCGGTACTTTGACTGACATTTATTCAGTAATGCAAAACCGTACCAAAATTAATTTTATACCATTTTTTGGGGACAGATAGAGCTTTCTGTTGGCTGTATTTAATCACCACTGGGGTTTTTATTGTTCACTATAAAAAAAATTGCATATATGTAACATGGGTAGCACAATAGACGCACTTGTCGATTTCGCGCGTAGGCGCACCCAACACATGTTTGAGTGTGTACGTGGGGGACTTTAAACAAATGTTTGTGTTTTTTTTATTTTGTTGGGTGTGACAAATTTTTTTGTAACTTTATTTTTTTAAACTTTATTTTTTTTTACACTTAACTTTGTTATCACACAGGGAGCTAAGAAACCCCCATGTGATGTCAAATTTACAGTGACAGGTCCTCTTTATAGAGACATTAGGGGTCTTTAAGACCCCTAATGTCACCTAAGGACCCCAAAGAAACTGATGAAGCAGCTTTACCAGCTTCTCTCTGGCTTCTGTAGCCGAGAATGGCAGATGAATGCGGACGTGATGTAATACAGATCACCCCCGCATTCAGAGACCGGAGAGGAGATCAGCTGGAGATTGTGTGCTGAGCTCCCTCCAATCTCTGTTCACAGAACCGCCGTGCTGGTCCCATGTCCTTTTTGCTGGGTCATGTAGAAAAAACAAACACTCACATGCCCAAGCTCTTCTGGGTTCTCGCAGTCAGTCCCCTGATGATGAGCATGCAGCATGCAGCATATATATATATATATATATATTGTGGTATTGTGTGGCACTCCCACTGCAGAAGTGGGTGTTATGATCACCTGGACTCTCAGCCTGATGGGCTGAGACGTGTCAGGAAGCAGGGGTTTGTCGGGATTATGCATGGGATCCTGGAACTGGGAGGTTTCAAGGTGATTCAGGAGGAAAGATGAGATCCCTAGTCCTGGGCCCAGGCTTTAGCAGTGGCCAGCACTTGATAATTGCACAGGTGTACACAACCATTAAGAAAAGGATGCTGGCTAGGGGAATGAGCTCCTGCTGGGAAAGAGGAACAGACCGTGTTCAGGTGTCAGGAGAACGCCCCCAGAAGTCAGAGAGGAGTCAGGCGAGCTCCTACTGGGATAGGAACGGACGGTGTTCAGGAGTCAGGAGGACTTCCCCAGAATCTAAAGTGGAGTC